TTTGGTCAACCAATTAAAGCTTTCATAGGAGGATAGTTTATTGCAACCTAATGGCTTCCCAGAGTTTTTTCTTGTTTCAGAAGCATCACAAATTAAATCTCTCCTCACTACTGTTCATATTATTCTTCAAAAATATTCTCTCTTCAATTATTTGTAATTGCTAGAAAAACTGGGGTTTAAAGAAGTCTGATAGTCTTTCTATCCTATTACTATTTACCGTTTGGCAAATGCTTCAGGCTAAACATAAACATACTGAAGTAGAAGAATAAACAAATATTTTGACTGCCAAAATGTAATGTAAAAGAAAATTAGCATAAACGAGTTGGGTGGAATCCTTTATATTTGTATTTATTTACGTCTTGTTATGAGGACTTTGTGAGAACGAATACTCACTAGTTTGAATCATACATTTTCCTTGATCTGCTATCTCTGATATAGTCATAATGGACTTTCGGTATTGTGTTTACACTTGTCTACTTTCCGTACAAGCAAATTAAATCGGTATTATTGTATTTTATTCGCTAGACTACTCATAAGTAAGCAAACAAAAACATGTAATTTACTGAGCCTTCCAATTAGTTTTTAATTCAACTACTTAGCTATTTATTTCGTGTTAACTTCTTATACTAATGCCGTGATACCGCTGTCATATAAGCTGTGCCATTCAGTATTGCAATAATACTTACGGATGATAAATGCATCGTCTTCTTCAGAACCGTTAAATCTCACTTGGTATTGACGTGGTCTCAGTGATTATTATTATATTATTATTTGTCCCTTGGGTTCCTAGTGGAACAAATGGCTTCAGTAACACGTCTCCAGTGCACTCTGTTCCCTGCAATCTTTTGAACCTAACTCCACGGCAGCCCAAAAGCTCTCATTTTCCCTCATACGATCTCCTCCATGTCACCCTCACCACGGACGCCCAGCTCGTCGTTTCCCATCTGGGTTCAACTCGAGGGCCTGGTCTGGCCTGGCCTGGCGCGTGATGTCCCCGAACAGTCTTCACAGTGCATGCCCAATCCATCTCCACTCCCTTCCAGTGCATATTTGTTGAGCGATAGGTTGTTCTTGGTTGGTTCGTTACCAACCAGCCAGAGTTCCTTGTTGCTTAATCTTCTTATTCTGGCCATCTGATCTTCAGTAACGAGTGTAGGTGGCAGCTGTTGATGAATGTCTGTAGTTTGTTGGAAATCCCTTTCGTGACGCGCCAAGTCTCTGAGCCATACAGAAGCACTGACTTGACGTTGGTACTGAAAATCCGGATGTTGTTCTTTATGTTGAGAGCAGAAGATCGCCACGCTGGTTTCAGGTTAACGAAAGCCTGTCTTACTTTTCCGACTCTGGCTGGCTTTAACGTCCTCGTCTATGCCGCCACCGGTAGTTGAAACAGTGCTTCCTAGATAGGTGAAAGAGGCTACTTCCTTTAAGTTTCTCCCGTTGACGGTGACTGGAGTTTGTTGTTGGTTGGGTATATTCATCACCTCTGTCTTCTCTATGTTCACCTGAAGTTCCGTCTTCGCTGCCCTACCTCGCCTCTTCTGTCAACTTGTTAGTTTTCGCCTGTAGATCTTCCAGTTTGTGAGATATCAGACACAAGTCATCGGCTAAATTCAAGTCTTCTAGGATCTTTTCCGCGGTCCAGCGTATCCCCTCTTCTCGCTCCCCACTGTTTGTTGCATGATCCAGTCGACTACAATGAAGAATATCACTGGTGGTAGCAGTCAGCCTTGTTTCACTCCTGTCTTCACTTCAAAAGCATCACTGAGCTTCCCACTGTGAATTACTTGGCATGTGGTGTCTTCATATAGATGTTTAATCAGGCTGATAAAGGTTTGTGGTACCAAAACCGTAGTGTTGAAGCAACTGCCTGTCAAATTACTTCTCGGTCGACGCTGTCAAATGCCTTTTCAAAGTCGATGAAGTTGAGGTACAGGGTTGACTGCCATTCTATACTCTGTTCTATGATGATGCGTAGTATAGCGTTGCAATTTGATCCGCACATGATTTGTACTTCTTGAATCCAGCCTGTTCCGGTCGTGATTTTGAATCCAGTGCATCCTTTAGTCTCTCCAGGATGATGCTGCTTAATATTTTGCTTGCATTGGGTGGACAGGAGAGTGATTCCGCACCAGTTATTGCAAACACTGAGGTCTCCCTTCTTCGGCAGTTTGACAAGGTAACCCTACTTCCAATCGCCAGGTACCTTTCTTTCCTTCCAGATCTTCTGCAATAGTGGTGTGAACATGTCAGCTGCTGTTGTCTCTGCATCTGCTGTCAGTGCTTTTAGCCGGATTCCCTCTGGTCCTGCTGCTCTCACGGATTTCAGTAACTTTATGGCGCTCAGAACTTCGACTTTTGTTGGAGGGCTTGTGTTCACTCGTAGTTCTGGGGCTGGGATGCTGGTGGTATTTGTGGACGAAGTGCAGGTGGTGGTCGAATCAAGAGCTCTTTCAAGTGGTCAGCCCATCGTCTCACTTGTTTCTCCTCTGTGGTATTTAGATTTCCTTCATCATCTTTTATTGGTTCCATCTGTGCTGATCTCTTCCTTCCCAGATAGTAACCTGGTTATTTGATACAATGTTGTCAGGTCTCTCTCTCCCACCTGCAGCCTGTTCTGCTTCACTTACCAGTGTGTTGTGGAAGTGTCTTTTGTCTTTCCATGCACTCTTCTTCACTTCTTTGTCCAGTATAGTGTTTTATACATTGTACTCCCATCCTTTTCTCGTTGTGCATCCTTGCGCTGGTCTTTCTTCTGCTTCACCATCCTCCTCTCCTCTATCAGCTTCCATGTGGAGATCCGTCGAAATCCATTCCTCATCTTTTTTCTTCTTCCTTTCTAATACGGTTATGTAGGTTGCTTTCCACATCTCTTTCAAAGAGTTACAGTGTTGTTTGACACAGGTTTCACCAGGGATGTTGCTCGATATCTCCCATTTTGTCTTGGTGGCTGCCGTGAAGATCTCCTTTGTGGTTTCGTGCTTCAGCTTCTGTTCGGGTGTTGAACTTGAACTGTGGCCTATCACCAGCTTCTTTGAATTGAAGGCTTTCAACTTGATTTGGAAGGTTCCTTGCACTAGACAGTGGTCTGAACCTACATCTGCTCCCCTTCTTGATCTTGTGTCAAGTAGGCTGCATCTTCACTTTCTTCACATTGAGATGAAGTCGATCTGATTTTTAGTGTCTATAGGGTGAAATCCAAGTCGCTTTGTGGATATCCTTGTGCTTGAACACAGTGCTTCCAATCACCAAATCGTTGAATGCACAGAATTCTGCAATCAATTCTTCATTCTCTTTCACTTCACTGAGCGCTTCTCAACCCATGGTTAGTTCTCTTCCTGTGTTGTCCGCTCTCAGTCTGGCATTCATGTCACCCATTAGAATTTTGATGTCGCCAACTGAGGTCTTGTCCAGTGTTGATTACATTGTCTGTAGAATTCCTCCATCCTCTCTTTGTCTCCGTTATTTGTAGGTGCGTAACGTGGCATTGTGTGATTGTAACTTCCTTCTCTTTCAGTTGAATCTTGCTGTCATGATGGTGATCCTGAAGGACGAGACTGGTTCCTGCTGCATGAGAGAGAGCCTTCGATGCTCTTGGGGACATTATGATAGCCACTGAAAAACGCAGTGTGATCGTGGTTGTCGTCTGTGTGACAATATTGGAGGAGATTAGTGACTCTCCAGTTGACAGTTTCGAGAGTCCTCTTCCATTACACCTGCTTTCGCGAATTCCTAGCACTTCAATACTATACCTTCTCATCTCCTTTTCAATCTGGGCAGCATTGCCAGTCAGGTTCAAACATAGTGCGGACATTCCATGTCCCATGTTTACTTTCACTTTCATCGAGAGAAGATACGTCGACCAATTGGCTTCCCGAAAACTTTCACCAGCTGGCGTCATTTCGTCTCCCCGATTCCAGCTAGGAATAAGTGTGTTTTTATATCTTCTCTATGCTTTGAAGTTTCTTTAGGGGTTTGATTGGTTTTACGGGTTAGGGTTGCTAGCCCTATGCTTAACCTTCCCTCTTTACCCGGGCTTAATTCCGGCTAGTAACTAGGGTACTAGTTAACCAGTGATGCTCGAAATTAAAAGATAGTTAAAAGATTATAATTTTAAGAAAATAAATTTTCAAGCTTTTCGACAATTTACATTGTGTGAATAAGAGCTGAATTTTGATAAGATGGTTCCGGCTCTAATACTAACCATTGTGTACTGTTTGAGATAGATTTATTTTAAAGTTACAGTAATATTTCTTTTATCAATTGGACATTCCCAGTGAAAACCAGAAATCTTGTTACAAAAGAGTGAAGCTTTTAGGATGTCACTTATATTTTATGTTCACAGTATTCTTTTAAAAGGCTCATAAATATCTACAGTAATGTATGTGTGAGATGATGTCCATTCAGTTGTGAGTGATTTGCCAATCGCATTTCTAATTATAATTTCACATAGAATTGTCTCTATTTGTTACAAAAACAACTAACAATGATCATTATAAAAGAAAGGCAAGCTTCCTAGTGAAATGGCCTTAGGTAGGGGAAATAAGCAGTGTAGCGGTTCTAAATGGAATCTAACCAACATATTACAAATTTACTCAGGCTTAGTTTTTAATTCGCATTTTGCTTGTTTACCGTTCGCTCTGGTTTTTACTTGTCAGCAAATAATTCTTTTGCTTAATATGGTTGTTATTGCTATTCATCTTCAGTAGCTTTTCTGATGGTTTTGACAAGCTGGGTAAGTACACTGTTGTCAAGTAGAATCTGCTTTTCTGAAAACATTCAGTTACTCGAATAAGTTAGGTAGCATGAAGAGATGAATTAGTGGTTGGGATAAAAAAGACCATAACATCTGTAAGTTGTGTAGATAGAATAGAAGTAAAGAAATTTAATTAACTTCAGCGCACTATTTTCCTTTTCAAAAACGTTTCTTGAACGAATGAAGGTTGAGTGTAACACTGTGAAGAGATGAAACAGACCAATTTTAAGAAAGAATGTCTTACCTCCATAACGTAAAATGTCTCGATACAGTGTTACAATGGTTTCATTTAACGTTTGATTTCTTCAAATAATTCCTTGTCATCTAACGATGTCGGTGCTAAACCTATTTCTGCTCCTGTCGAAGCTGCCGGTTTAATTGGTCCAAATACAGATTCTAACATTCCCCATAGTTTAGCAACTCTTGCCTGAACCAAATTGTAACATGCTGGACAGGGTAAACAACCAGCTTGCAAATTATAATGATTCTCCTGTGTGAATTATAAAGGATAATAGCAAGAAATGTAACTTATCACACGAAGACAGTTCGGAAACATTATCAACATGATGTAAATGTTTACACCTCAGATATTCTGGTTAAATAATTTCTTTATTGAGCTAAAGTGTCATTACAATGACGTAAAGTTGGTATATCATCTGACAAAAACATTTTAGTACAAAAAAATATGTCAGGAAGAAGGTAGGTCGTGTGAGGATTGAGTTCAGTGCCATCTGAGTTCTACTCAGTGAATGACTGTGACCAGTGTTTGCTCGTCATTTGTCTACCAGTTGAACAAAAAGTTTCTGTGCACATCAGGCTTTTATTAACAAATGAATCATGCAATAAGATAGCATTCAACAAATCCTATGTTTACCAACTAACTTGAGAGCACATTTAACAAGTACTTGCGAAACGTATCCTAACTGCACTTCACTTTGAAGGTAAACTGAAGATAACATTCGAGGTTGAAACATATACCTTTTTTGCAAGAAAACTTAAGCTGGAAGGGAAATAAAAATTACTAAAATTAAGTAATCTTTGAAATTTTTGTGTGATGAATGGTTGGAAAATTTTATTTTCACGATTTGAAAATTGATAGATAAGAGAGCTTACTTTTGAGGTTGGTGAGACGTTTATGAAAATTTTCATTCTAAAAAGTTACTTTGAAATGCCCAGGTATGAAGATATTTTTTGGTATACTCAGAAGAAGAAATCTAGACTAGTTCTGTTGTACACACTACCGTGGCTGTTAAAACAGCATGAAAAGTAGCTGTGGTGCATGAATTCATGAAACTTATTTGCATGTCTAAATCACATCAAACTAATAATTGAAGTGACTTTAAATACCAACCTAGCAATTACTGAAATAAACGATTAGTTTCCTTTGATTTATAAAAAAAAAACCTCTCCAGACCAAATAATGAAAATTAACTGGTTATTTAAGTTGTTCATGAGTTCGGCTATAGATTAACTCAAATCTACAGATATATGAGTCATCTTAATCTCACTAGTTATTCTTCTGTATGTAGCAACGGTTCTAAACTTGTACTCTCACATTCAGTTACATCTGCATTTGTCTTTTGAATTGTCTGCATTCAGTCCTATGCTTGCATAACTCGACTATTTGAGTTTTAGATGTCACGTTCACCCGAATTACAAGTTCTCTTTACTATTACATGTGGAAGTCAGCGTTCATTATTGGATTACAAAACGGTGAATTCTCCTAAACCTTCGGCGATACTGTTTATGATCTGAAGGTTAACACTGATAGACATCACTAGTATAATAGGAGATTTCGTTTGTTTGCAATAGAATATTCGAAATTCCATGTATTCTATTTCATCACAGAAAGTCACTTTTTATTCATATAATATAACAACCCCATCTTAAACCACTTTTTTCACCACCTATTATAGTTCTCTTGGTAACCTAGACCTAATCATCCAGTTAATTGTGAACTTACTCTATGGGATAGATGAAGCCTGATACTTTAACATTAGAGCTGACATTTCATCTGAAAAACAAGCTAATCATGAAACAATGTGCAGAAAAAACAAGCAAATTTGTAACTTATTTACGACAGTTAAAGATATCATCTGGCAAGTGAAACCTAAAACAATGAAATTGAGTTAAATATCGTGAAACAGTCACAGCACAGTCACAACACTTTCATCAATAACTAAAACTTCCAGTAGAGTATTGTTGAATAGTTATAAATTGATACAATAAAAATTTTCAAACTATTCCTACCTGACACTGGTCACATTTTGGGCCAACAGCGAATGGTTTACAAATACACTGACCATACTTATCACATTGATTACTTTCAGCACCATATGTTTGACAATTACACGCTTGACAGCCTTCTATACTAGTCATATTAAAATGCGCTGATTGACATTTATCACACTGACGTCCAATCACATTAGGTCGACATTCACACTGACCCGTGCGATCATCACACGATTCTTTTACCGCACCTACAGAATTACAATCACACGGTTGACAACCCTAAATGAAGAAATGAGAAATAAGTATTTCTTTTTTCCATAAAAGTAATTAACGTTTTGAGGAACAAAATTATAAATGTGCTAAGATGTACAATACAGATACTTTTATGGAAAGACAAGTGACTACAAGATTCGTGAATAGCAAGCTGACAAGTGACCAATATCATTTACTTTGACGCTAAGATAAACCTGAGACGCTTAAATGTGCGTCTGTTTTCGCCAAGAGCTCAGTTTAACATTTTCGGGCTAAAAACAACGGTAATAGCCTGATTATACCTCATAACAATCTGTTGTACTAGCCAAAAATACAGTCATCCGCGAACTACAGTTTAATCTCAACAGCTAATGAACAAATGTAGTGCTTCCTAGCTGAGATTCAAAGCTGTTCTGTGAATAATTCCGGCTGTACATTTAAAAAAGGTTTACTAGTAATGGAAGCCCTTAAATTTAACTTAGTTATCGTCAGTTACCAAATAACCATTGCAACTAACTACATTCACAATCAATAGTTGTACTGTAAACAGAAATTGACCAACGTTATATCACGGCCTGAATACAAGAGTCATAAGCTAAAAAATAGGAATAAGGTTATTAGCTGATATGATTTGTCACGCTTGAACAGCAATGTGACCAGTACTAGTATTTGAAACAAACTGAACTACACTAATCAGTCGCTAACTGAAAATAAGATAAAATAAGTATCGTTAATTCTTTATCTAAATACTGTGAACTAATCTAAATCTGTAAGCTGTAAGCTTATACCGTTGACGATAACTCAGCTCTACGTTACTTCTACGATAGAGGAATGAATTGCATACTTTACAGTTGAAAAGATTGTCACAAGAATGGTAGAGTATTATAACATTTATTAGTGAATGGGAGGCAATTTTCTAAGTGTGATTACACAATAACTGCTTTTTGGTGGTTATTTTTCGACATATACAAAGTAGTGATGGGCCAAGACATAATTGTCCGAACTAAATATTTTTTCTTTCAGAACACCTCGACTTTACCATTAAATAAATTGGAAATTATCATGGTGTTATGGCCAACCAAAGAAAAGAAAATTCGATCAAGGATATTTTATTCATTTATTGTATTAATTTTAAAGTCAACTTATTTCAAAGTTATTGTATAATATTATTGTGTAGACATTTTTCACATGCTTTCTGTCTGCCCATTCGTTAGTTGTTGCTTCATGCTTCATTATGGAAAGGTAACTGTAAAGTAACTGCCCTAAATGACCTTATTGGTTGTTTGGAATTTACTGTTCTGAATTTTGTTATTCAGTTAGATAACAACAGTGGATATGAACTTAAAAATGAACAGTGTTAATAGAAGGCCTGTAGTACCTCGTCTCCTGTTCGATTAACTGGGTGACTAATTAGCGTGAGGAAAACATAGTAAAGTGTGACCATATTCAAACAGTGGAGTACATGGAAAAGTATAATACATGACGGTATGAAAGGTTTGTTTTGAAGTTATTTGTAGGAAGCACGTAATCTAAAGCATGTCAGTTTACTTGACATTACTTCACATAATGGAAATTAGTCTTTCATAGTAAAACTTCATCCCCCAAGCCTGATAAAGTAAAACATTTTTTGACTGTTAAATGAAACGATAACCAGCTGCATTTCATGACAGTTTCAAACGTTTATTGATAAAGATTACTCACTTGTCCAGTATGAAAACCATAAAATCCATCATAACATTTATCACAATTTAATCCACCCACACCAGGTTTACATGGACATTGACCAGTTTCAGGATTACAAACACCAACTCCTTCAGGACCATAATTAGCTAAAGTTCCGATTGGATTACATTCACACGGACTACAACCACGCGCAGGAACTAAATCAACTAAATCAGTTTCATTCAGCGGTTTCAAATTACGACGATAACCCGGTAAACATTTTTCACAGTGTCGTCCAGTCGTGCCAAATAAACACTTGAGGCATTCACCAGTTTTTCTACAGTTGGTTAATGTAATTTAAAAAAAATATTTTGAAAAACATGTTTGTTAGATAAAGATATATATATTTCAGCGTTATCCGTAGTCAGAGGGGCCCCATGAGGATCAATGAGATACTTCATAAGGATTAGTTATTGGTACTAGGTGTTTGAGATAAAAATGATTCTATTTGAATCCAAATTTATGCCACTTAGTACTGTGATAATATACTTTCTGGTATTACTGACCTTTTATTTAAGTCTCATTAACTTGTATCAAAACAGGCGTGACATACCTTCAAGGGTTCTTCCTGAATAGCAATAAGTACAGGGACACCGAATGATGGTCAAACTATGTCACAAATTAGCACAGGCTAAGAACACTGTGATCATTCAGACCAACCCAGAGAATAGGGGGCAACATGCTGTTTACGTAACCCGAAGCTTATGAGAATCGATCCTATATACGATCACGGATAAAAAATTCTGAGTAGTCCTGAAATGTGACAAAACTGCTCAAGCTGACGTTAATTTTTGATGATGAAACCAACTGAGTTCCCCAAACCACTGTGAAAAGAACTGCATAGATTTAATCTACTTATCAAAGATTGAAAAAAGGTGAATTTAGATCACTGTCGCTGATCTCTGTTTGCCTTGTGTGCGAATAAAAGACACGTTAGTTGAATAAACAGATCGATTCTCTTTTTTTATGACAGAAGGAAGAACTTTTGTGTGTGAAGAACGGGTGATGAGCACAAAAAAAAATGTTAGTTTGCTATCTTAACAAATTCTTTGTTCAGTCAGCATCATGTGGTTAAATGAACTTCTGTATCGAAGACCGAATTTCATAAAACTCAAAACCATGGTTATGTTTATAGTTTTGTTTGATAACCCACAGCAACTTAATCAGTCCAAGTGAGACTATTGTCTAAGTTCCCTAAATTGACATATGGAGTCAAAAGCTGTTTATTCAAATGAATTTTCACTAACTTAATTCAAAAAAATGAGGATATGAGCAAATATACATTTTCATCAATCTCACTAAATCCTACTTTTGATTATTTTTTCTGATTTAGTCAGATGATTATTGAGGGTATAGAAAAATATACATCGCTGTAACTTTCAAACAAGCTTTCATTGACCAAAACATTTGAATGTTTACCGACTGCATTACGAAACCTGACTACTTATAATGCTACTACTATTACTACCGGTAAGAAAGAGGCCAAATTTTCTTAAGACCTCAGTCTGTCAAACAACGGATAAATTACATAACGATTTTATTTGAATCTTATAGTTGTTCTGTTTCAGTGAAGGCTAGTAATTTTGAATAACTTCTTCGTAGAAGTGATTTTAACATGAGCATTTATTAAGTCAGGATACGATTTCTTACTTTGAGACTTCTTAAAAGCAAGGAGAATTTACAGTAATGTTTTCAACTGTGAATAGATTTTAGTATGAGATTGCTAAGTGAACAAACCTTTTCGAAAATTTACAACAGATCCAAATTATACGAGGTAACCAGATAATGTGAATGACTTTGATTTCCCTTTTCCTGAGTTTCGATAATCTGAATAAAGCGATTTTCGCTTCCTCAAGACTTGTTACTCTTTGAGTGTATTTAACTGGACAAATGTTCTCAAGATTGGAAAGATTTAAGTAGTTAGTTACCTTCATTAAGAAAACTTTAAGTTCCAGATTAGTTTTCAAAAGTGACATAACTTACGACATTTGAATAGGCCGGTTGCATACAATTATCGAATGGTTGTAGAACTTGGGTAGACTGTACTTTGACTTATGGAGCAAAATTAGTCAGTTTATCAAAAGTTATCAGTGATGGCTGCATCAGTGAGTGTGTCTGATGTTTACTGCTTTTGTGGAGATACTCAAATAAGCCCTGCATGCAAGCCATAGAACACATCAAAATAACAGTCTAAGGGTCCGATCTCTACAGGTTTTGAATGAACACCACTGAGGACTCATAAACCGGTAAAAGTAACTGTTAGGTTTTTAAAGCAGTTTCCCAGTTGGCCTTAATTCATAATGGAAACTGCTTTGAAACAAGAAAATCTGATCTACACGTGACTTTTATGTGTTGGACCGTTTTCGTGATCCTGCTGAAGTGAGTCTTAATTAACACTGATAAGGAAAAATTTATATTCAAACTACCTATCTTGTATAATTTCTCTATGACCATTTCTTTTCCTTTTACGAAATACTCTTAGCACTTAAGATATACTGATGGAATCAACAATCGGTTCTTATGATTATGATTTACATCATCATCAGTTACCTCTTACTGTCACTTAGTTCCTCCCTGATTTTGTTACCGGATTTCGGTGACTTCTGTTCCACTGACTGTGATTCATTACTGAAGAGTAAGTGCCTGTTCTTATTTCTATACTGCTGACGATCTTGCTTGCCATATGCATGAAGCAACCACAATTATGTGTAAAAAAGAAACTTGTTCAACCTTCGTTACTACCTTGGACTTAGTAAGTTGCTAACACTACATTGACCTGAACTTCCCTCTCTTATGATTCACAATTATGTTGTGTTTTATGGTTTATATCTCAGTATCGTCTTCATTTTGTTTACATGCCTCCCTTGATAACGCTTTATTTTGAAAATTCCTCCTACATATTATAAGACTTTAAACTCTATCCGGTTAGTTATTTTAGGTCCTATGAAAGTTTGTGATTAATTTCCACATTGCATCAAACGTTTGCGTTTTTAATATTCATTCAACTTGATCTTTTTTACCAGGTTTAATTTAACAGTTCTTGGGACTATTCAATATAGTTAAAAAAAAATATATAAATTGCCACTCTATAGCTGTGGAGAATGAAATCGTTGGAAAAAGACATCTTCGCTAACCTCCCGTTTTTCCTAACGTCCTCATGGGCATTTTCAATAGCTTGAAGAATACTGTACACCACACAGATAAATACAATATTTTAGTTAGGATGTGTCGATTTATATCCTAGTTGTCTGGCATTGTGTCATGTTTTCAACATAGCCAATGAAAACTACTCATTCTCCTATGCTTTCAATTGCCTTTACCCATAACACTAACTGTTACAACTTCAAGACATTTTCTTTATGCGTAATAGTTACCGTTGTACAACTGTATTTATAGATTGATGACTGTAGAGCCTGACTGAGAAGTTATAAAAAACCTTTTAGTTACTGAAGGTTTGTTTGTTTTCAGGATCTTGTCAAGATCTCAGATTGTTACTGAAATTGATAAATCACTTATCTAGCTAACTGATCGAAATTAATGGTATGTCAGCATTCAGGCGAAATTTAGGGTGAAAGATGGCCTGCAAAAGGTGATGAGTACAGTAATTATGACTGAAATATTATATGGTTAGTGTTATCAGCCCTACATTTATCACTCACCCATCACAATTTCCGAATTCTCTTGGATCCACATTATTTGAACAATCGCATGGTTTACATGGAATCCCTTTCACTGGATCACCATAGAAATTCTCTGCACAACGCTCACATCGAATACCTGAAAAAAATCACGACAAATAATATGATTATTTTTGGTTTGGGTGATTAAATCAATATTCAGTGTTGGGTACAAAGTTCAGAAAAGATGTACATGCTCACGTGAATGCATGTATCACGGTTAGCTAGCATTTATAGCTGCGAAACACCTAGAACAAACGTCAGACTGAAAATAGCAATCAGCTTACAACTCACCGAACAAGGTGTATGAATATACTACAGTGAACAACCATTGCAGTAACAAGAACAAAAATGCCTCAGTAGGTTTCCTAATTCATCACTTAACTCCATCGGAAAGTTTAACAGAATTCCCAAGGTGAGAAAAAAAAAATCAAAACTGAAAAATCATCACTACAACTTTCAAGTTTTAAATAAACGGAAAACTATGCATACAAACAAGTAGATGTAAATTCTGTCACTTCATGAAATGATTCAGAATCAAACAAATAGTTCAAAGTTAACTAAAAAAATTACCCAGTTAGTCAGTCAAGGAGTATTTTAACAATATATACAAAAAGTAGGTTAGTCTACGGGGAAAATCTGAAGCCAGAAGGGTAAACATATCACGAAAGGTTGTCTTTCATGCACTAACAGGATTGGTGCAATAGCTGCTGAAACTTGGGCCTAATTAATGGCTTCATTTATTGTTTATATACTTACTATTGATGGAAATGACTTAGCCGACTGAGATGAAAAGTTGTGGTTCAAATATCAGATGAGTTAAAAATAATATTCAGTCCTTAAATAAGTTGAAAAATTGTGCTATCACGAAGTTTTTTTAAAGTCTACAAAGGTCAGAGATCCTGACATTATAGTCAGAATTTATGAGTGGTAACGAGGGTCCAGATATTGAAGAGGCTTGAAAGAAACCCAAAGTAAGTACAAATTTGACATCATAACTTCTAATAGCATATAGCTTTACAATCGAAACAGCTATAAAAACCTGCCAATATCATTCAAAATTATTACAACATTTATTGTAGTTGGATTTAAAAACAGATGGAAGAAATGGTGGATTTTAAAAAATGAAAGATTCTCATTCTGTAAACTGAAAAACAATGTTAATGAAGAATATTTTTTTCAATAAATTCTCATTAGATTCTACTGTTATAAAATGAAAATATTCAGGGTAAAAAAAGGCGAGGTTTGAGGTAAATACATTTTCAAAATCGAATGTGGATTAAGGATAATAAGCAGATTAGGATTTCTTTTTAAACTTATCAATGTTAAGATTACTTGTATGTACATAAACAATGTGATGATGAAAGAAAGAAAAAAGAGACACAGAAAAATCAAGATGAGAATAGTCTTCAGTTTACTGATGGCCAGGCGACGAGTGACACCTGAGTGTGTTCATTATGAATGGAGAGTTCAGATTTTGTCAGATTTATTGATAAAGCTCTAGCTATATTAAGGCGTTAGCAAACTGCTTGTGCTAGTGTCTTCGTAACACACTGTATGGCAGAAAGTGCTATATTAGCATCTACTATGTTTGATAATATGGAACTTCGTATCATTAATATATATGTAGAATGATTCTGTTGAATCCCTGAGCTGACAATTAAGCAAAATAATCTAATCTATCAATCTCATGCAATGATTATGAGGTCAATAATGCAGATTAAACTAGCCGGTCGGGGTCAGTTAGAATAGCCGAACATAGGAATTTAATTAAATATCGAATCAACGCCGAACACCTAGTACATGTAATAGAAATGATGCAACACATATACCAGAAGAGATATAGAGGATTTTACTATCAATAAAAATCAGATATCAAGAGTAGTGTGGTTACGTTGATATAATTATAACCAATTATTTATGCTCGAAAGGTCATAATGTAAATAATACTATATCACTGTGCTGTATATATCAAATAAACAAATCTAATATGAAACTTTGTATCGTTGTGACTTCATCTTTTTCAAACCAAGCTACAAAATGCTTCCACACCCAGAAATGTATCTCCTTATTTGCACACTATATTTAACTTTTTCTATAAGAACAGTTAAACGGATAGGTAGGATATTCTTAAGTCCAAGATTGAACGTTGGTCGTTATGACTACTGTGAGTGAGGTTCCTCAAGTAACATTTAACGTCCCCTGGTTTTTGTAGCATTAAAACAGATACAGCTGACTGTCAGTGTTTATTTTTTCTATGGAATGAAGATTACAGTTATCCACATGGAAAGAAAGAGTTAGCATACACAATCTTTTGAGTTATTATCACAGTTTAGGGCGATAACTGTTTTCAGTAGTGCAGTTGTCCTATATTTCATTAACACAGGATATAATACAGACATCTTGAATTCATCAACAATCAACTAATAAATAGTAGCTGGGGAAAAAGATATAAGTGAGAAATCTAAAGTGGAAAATATTAAATGAAACGTTCTAAAAGTATTCATATGGGAAAGTCTAGAACTTTCAATTACCATAAGTATTCACCAAAACTTCAGTTAGTAAGAAAAGCCGATTGAGTGAATTTTATGGAAATTAATTTGAATTAGGGATGTTTAGTGTCCGGCACAAGACCAACTAATCATTCTATAAATATCATTTCAGTAGTGCATGTTATTGATAAACTTAAAACCAAGAGATAGCAGATTCTCGGTTTTTCTTTGTTCTCAGTAGGTTTTGTAAATGATGATATTTTAAATTAGATACTATCTTCAGGTCTTAAATACCCTTAAACGTCTTGTCAGATGTACATTCCAACTCAGCTAGTTTGATCAAACCTAAAAGCTCCTAAATGACACCATGATATTATCTTCATCTGGAGCAACATGTGTTTTCATGTTTTAGCGCAGCTGAAAAGTTTAAATAACATTCTAGAAAGAAATACGTTATCAGATGCTATATATGAGTCATTAAGATGTTAAAAGATATGTGAAATTTAGGCTTTAGGTGTAGCTGTTACTTACCTTAAGAATGAGTTGAAAATTTTCATCCATTGGTTTATCATATTCAGAAAACTTTCTGCAACCCGTTCACAAATGAACAAAAACAGAGAAAGCATTCTGGAAATATTGCTGATTCTGTTCGCAAATTGTCACGCTACTTATTAGTAGTTCAATTTTATCTCCGAAAATGATGCTGACTACACGCTCGAGCCGTAAAAACCGAATACTTAAGTGAAATTAAGAAACGTTTAGGTTACATATAGACACTGACTAGGACTATTCGTGGGCTTTATGTTTGCCTACTAAATTACGGTGTCTCAGTTTTCAGTAATCTAAAGTTCATTGTAGTTGTCATCTCAATTAAAAATACGTTATGATTTGAATGGTCTGTAGAATTTTACACTTCGGCCAACTTTAATGCGAAGAACATGTTCACGAAAACTAACTTGAACAGTGTGGACTACTGCTTATAAGAATGTGTGTCAGTAGTATATATCACACAATTGGCAATCATGAGGAGTGATAACGATCAACAGATGAAGAATCTGGAGGACAGAAGACAATATCAAGTAAAAATATAGGCAGACAAGAACACTCCACATAAGAACGCCAAAAAGGGGAATTCAGCTAATATGAATTTATCTTTATCAATACCGACTGCAACTTTCCAATTAACGATCTCTACTGGTTCACTAGACTTCTCTTTAAGATCACTTCACATTACTGTCATTTGAATTTATTTTTTACTTGTACTTTCAATAGTGTGTACTCCAGAACAGATAGCGCCCTTGGTGAATGAATCTTTGAAGATGTCCCAACAAGTTATCACTGAGAGATACAAGACTAACTTGCAGTGCCAGTGGTTGGCGTATGCCCGATACAGATACGACAGTCCACTCAAAAACAGTTTCCAATGTAATCGATGGGCACGTTATACAAAAGCATCAGTAATCCATCGGGTGCAGCTAAACTTGTGTACAAAAGGATTTTGTGTTGAGTCTTTCATTCCACTGGTTAAATGTCATTTTTTTTATGGCTTCATTTGTTGCTTTTTTTTATTTATTTATTCATTTCATTGTCTTATTGCCACTCTGATTCATTATATTTTAATTATGATTCTTAGTATATCCTTCTGTTGGTCTAACATTATTTAATAAACTTTGTACAGTATCCGGGGGGCGGGGGTTCAGATTTCCTACTTACTTGATCCACTAACGAAGTCCCTTAGCATTGTTGTTATACCATTCCATTTCATCTTGTTGATCGATTTCACTGCCTAATTTATCATCCGTAAAATAATTTGTACCTCTTCTCTTTAGTGGCTGAATAAGATACGAAGTATGACAATCATTTGTTCGTGTTTGATATGGAATTTATAAATGTATCACAACAACCTCACCTGAGTAACTAGTTGACTAGTTACTAGCCCGTCTAAGCCCAGAGAAAGAGGGAAAGTTGGGCATAGGGCTTGCAACCCTACCCCGTATAACAAATACAATCGCTAAACAAACTTCAAAGAACAGACAAAATAAAAAAAATTAAGATAAATTTATTCTCCACTGGAATCGGGGAGACGAAATAACACTAGTTGGTGAAAGCCTTCGAGAAGCCAGTTGGCAGATGTGTCTTCGCCTCTCTCATTGAAGGACTATCGAAACTGTCAACTGGAGAGTCAATAATCTACTCTCATGTTGTCACACAAATGACAACCACGAGCACACTGAGTTTCAGAGTGGCTATCACGATGACCCCAACATCATCGAAGGCTCTCTCTCATGCAGTAGGAACCAATCTCCTCCTCCTCCACCAGGATCATGAGAGCAAGATTCAACTCATACGGAAGGAAAGCCACAATCATACAATGCCATGCTACGCACCTACAAATTATGCAGACTGAGAGAAGAAGGAGGAATTCTACAGACAACTGCAATCAGTAATGGGCAAGACCCCACCACCCCCCCCCAGAAAGCGATAGTGACATCAAAATTCTAATGGGTGTAGTGACATGAATGAGTGGAGTGGACAACACAGGAAGACAACCAATCACGCATGGATCGAGAGGCACTCGGTGAAATGAAGAATGAGAATGGAGAACTGTTTACAGACTTCTGTGCATTCAACGATTTGGTGATTGGAGTCAAGCAGTGTGTACAAATACAAGGGTATTCACAAGGCAGCAACATGCATTTCACCAGACACCGGGACATACTAGGAACCAGATCGACTTCATCTTAATGTGAAGAAAGTGGAGACACAGCCTACTGACTGGATCAGCCAACTAGATCATTAAGAAGAGCAGATGTAGGTTCACACCACTCACTTCACTATCTAGTACAAGGAACCTACCCTCAAAATCAAGTTGGAAGCCCTCAATTCAAAGAAGCTGGTAATAGACCACAGTTCAAGTTGAACAACCACTCAGAACAGAGACTGAAATGAAGTGAACTGAAGGACGAAACTACAAAGGACATCTTCACGTCAGTCAGCCATCGGGAATAAATGGGAGGCATTTAGCAACATCGTTGGTGAAACCTGCATGGAACAACACTGGAACTGTTTGAAGGAGACGTGGAAGGAAACCCGCATAACCGTATTAGGAAGGAATATGTAAGAGGACAAGGAATGAATCTCAACGGACACATGGAAGCTGATAGAAGAGGGAGAGGAAGGTGGTGAGGCAGAAGATGAATCAGTGCAGTGCAGGGATGAACAGCGAAAACGGAAACTGAATACAAAATATAAAAGATTACATAGGGCAAAAAAAGAGTTCGCGCAAAGACAAAAGACGCTTCTACGGCACAATTGCAAATGAAGCAGAACAGGCTGCAGGTAGGAGAGACAGAAACCTGACAACATCATATCAAATAACCAGGTTACCTGCTGTCTGGGAAGAGATGAACACAGATGAAACCAATGAAAGATAGTGAAGGAAACTTAGTAAAGAGGAGAAACAAAAGAGACGATGAGTTGACCACTTCAAAAAACCCTTCAAATGACGATGACGATGATGACCACCACCAACTGCAACCCGTCCAGAAATACCACCAGCAGACCAGCTACAGAACTATCAGTGAACACAAACCCTTCGACAAGAGCAGAAGTGAAGTCCTGAAAGCCATAAAGATGCTGTATACCATGAGAGAAGCAGGACCAGATGGAATTCCGCCAGAAGCACTGAGAACAGATATAGAGACAACCGTAGGCATGCTCATACCTCTACTGCAGAAGGTTTGGAAGGAAGGAAAAGTAAATGCAGATTGGAAGAAGGTTTACCTTGTCAAACTACCAAAGAAGGGAGACCTAAGTGTTTGCAAGAACAGATGCGGAATAATGCTCCACCCCTCTCCACCGAAGTAAAATATTAGGTCACATCATCCTGGAGAGACTAAAGAATACTCTGCATTCAAAATTACGACTGAAACAGACTGGCTGGCTTGTTGGCTGGCTGGATGCCTTCAGGAAGAATAAATCATGTGTGGATTAAATTGCAACACTACACAATGACACGCATCATCATAGAATAGAGCATAGAATAGCAGTCAACTCAACTCAACCTTACCTCAACTTCATCGATATTGAAAAAGCCTTCGACAGCGTCGACTGAAAAGTAATTTGACAGACAGCTGCTTAAACACTACGGAATACCACAAACCTTTATCAATCTCATTCAACAGCTATATAAAGACGCCACAGGTCAAGTGCGTTTAACAACTGAAAGCTCAGCGACGCCTATGAAGTGAAGACAAGAGTAAGACAAGGTTGCCGACTACTATCACCAATGATCTTCCTGATTGTGGTCGACCGGATCATGCGGCAAATAGTGAGAAGCGAGAAGACGGGCATATGCTGAAGCGATGAACAGAGCCCAAAAGATTTAGATTTCGCCCGATGATGATTTATGTCTAATGTCTGGTCGCAAAAACCCGAAGGTCTACAGGCGAAAACTAACAAATTGGCAGAAGAGGCGGGGCAGCAAAGGAAGACGGGACCTCCCTCAGATGAACGTAGAGAAGACAGAGATGATGAGGATACCAGACATAAGACAATAACAACAACCACTTTTTACAATCAACGGGAGAAACCTAACGGAAGTTATCTCTTTCACTTACCTGCCCACGTAGCATCATTTCAACTTCAGGCGGCGGCGGCGAGGATCGGAAAAGCAAGACGGACCTCCATTAATCTGAAACCAGTGTGGAAGTCTACCGCACTCAGCATAAAGAACAAGATCCCGATTTTCAACACCAATTTCAAGTCAGTGTTTCGATATGGTTCTGAAACTTGGCGCATCATGGAGACCATTTCCAACAAACTACAGACATTCATCAACAGATGCCACCTACGCTCGATACTCAAGATCAGATGGCCAGAATAATAAGAATAAACAACAAGGAACTCTGGCTGCCTGGCTGGCCGGCTGTCAACGAACCAACGGAGAACCTATCACCTAACAAATATGCAGCAGAAATCGAAGATGGACTGGATTGAGCATACACTGAGAAGGCCGACTGGGGACATCCCGCACCAGACTCTCAAGTGGAATCCAAAGAAGGAACGACGAGTTTGGCACTGCAGCTGAGGGTGACGTAGAGGAGATCATGTGAGGAAGAAATGACAGGTTGTTGGCAGTCATGGCACCAGGTTCCAAAGACTGCAGAGGAGAGAGGGGAATGGAGGCGTGTTACTGAAGCCCTATGTCACACTTAGAACCCAGGGAACAAATAATAGTATTATAATGATGTTTCACAACACTGAGAAATAAGAATATGACAATGGAGTCAGGTTATTACCAGGTTTTGTCACAAGCTTAATCATTATTTTTGCATCGTCGCTACCACTAAAAACAACACAGAATTGGGTTTCGTTCGACGCGATACTATTGTTGTCGTCGCCATTATTATTATGATTTATTTCTCTTATTTTTTGATGATGCGACTGGAAACATTCCTAATATTAATTCGTCTTGTTACATAGAGAGAAATGATATTGATAACCATGTCATATTCCCGATTGTATATGTACATGCAGTAACGTACTGACTAGGATGTCATCTGTGAGATTTCCATCTCATATTTGCAACTCAGGAGGATATAAATAACTGCACATACACAAACAATACCTGACAAGATACATACGATTTCACGCTGATCATATTTCAGAGAAAAATAACGACACGAACAGGATTGAAGAGGAAACTAAGTATACTTTTTGACCTCATTTGTATATGTATATTTTTGGTATTCTCATTTTGATTATTTCCGTGAAGAAGGTCCTACCAAACATTCGTGTGAAAAGTTGGAATTATTTCATTACGAACATGCAGTATGACCAGACAAATTTTGTTAATAAAACTAGAAACTAAGTAGTCTAACTGACTAACCTTTAAACTTATTCAAAACTGGGTGAATATCCCTAACTCAGTTTCAACAGCCTAATTAATTTTTACCCTTGACGCCTAGCTAGTGATACATCTCTCCTCATCAAAAGTTTTCAAGTGTTTTTAGCCCGAAGCCTTCTTTCAGAATAGGGTGTTTGTTGAGTCATTTCCTATGTATCAGCTTCATAATAAAATTTAGCCGAATAACATTAGCACTATTTTCATGATTCAGTTAAAAATTTGACCACTGTGATAATTATGCTTCTGACTGCCCAATTACATTTTATGCATTATCTACAAAATACAAATTTAAAGCATGTTAAACATCATGGGGCAACTAAATTAGTGCTCAGCGCAAGCTGATGCACCCCTACTCAATTTGAATATATGGATATTCTTATGTTTTTCAACCAGCTGGCTTATTCATATTTTATGATTTACTGAAGAAATGACAATGAAAAACATAGTTTGGTGTTTAAAACAAACGGTACTATAATGCAGGATAGCTGATGGCTATGGAGGGTTGTATCAACGGATAAATGACTTCTAGCAAGCTGTTCAAAACGTCTTGTTACAGTGTTCAGCTGTGGAAAGGAAATAATAAGTGCTACTTGAATACTTACAAATTAATGAATGACGAACCTAGTTTTATGCAGAGCAGTGTCCTACGTAGTTACTGAAATACATACTGTAACAATCGACACTGAATAACGTTTATATATACCGTCTAACGAACAATATATATATATATATATATATATATATATATCCGCAAGCATACCTGATCTGTTATCTGGACAATCTTTGCAGACAACTTTAATTGAACGGTCAGGCCAGTAAACTTGTTCACATTTGGCCTCTGGAGGACAAGGACATGGCTTACAAGCTTCAGGTGAACCAACAGGAGCAAAAGAATCACCGTAATAACCATCAGCACATCGATCACAGAATAAGCCACCTGTATTATGTTGACAATCACACTGACCTAAATAAAATATACAGGAAATGTAATCACATCAAGAACATTACCCCACTGAGACAGTATCATAATTTGAATGGCGATAATAATAATAATAACAATAATAATAATAATAACGGCATTTGTAGTGATAATAATGGTAGTAATCATCATCATAATAATAATTCGAATTACATGTCAACATTTATCAATAATAAAAATAACAATTACGAAATAATATTCCATTTTCAGTCAGCTTGAACGCAGATTAAAGAGGGTAGACCATTTCTTTAAAAGGAACTAGTTACACACTTTCTATTACTTCAAGATTTATTCGAACTGGTTAAAAAGAATTCCTCAACAGGTGAATGGCATTACTTTAAGGTACTTATGTACCCGAAATCCGGTGGTTTTACTGGCATTCAGCAACGACATCAGCATTTATTAATTTAAGATAATGCCGCTCTAATTCTGTCACATCAAGTGTTTACTTTAAGCAAGCGAGTTGCTAGTACGGTTAGTATGGTAAGTGTTCGTACACTTTAAGGAAATATTTAGTGATTTGACTTCTATGGTAAAAACTGTTTAACATACCTGTTGGAAATCCAAACGATACGAGAATAAACTAAGTAGAGAGTTAACTGGTGAATAAATTGGGCGAATAAAACATATATCGTGAATGCTTTCTAAATATAAAATTGTAAAATTTTAAAGAAAAAAGTTTATTCACTCACTGATGATTAATAACATCGACTAAATTTTAAAGTCACTTTAAGGAACGTGTAACGTTGAAAAACAAAACTTCAAAACAACTTGACGCTGAAGCTTGTAGTTTCATCCTTTATTAACTGATTCGGACCGAGTTAATCTTCTACTATTAGTAAATTGGTATCTGGAGAATTGCCTCAATGCTGATGGCAATGTAATTTTGATAATGACGATGGACATTAATCATAAGTGAATTCTCAGATATTATAATTACTAGTAAACAATCCTGTATTATTTCGATGCTGAATTCAAGTGTCGAGGGGAACAATATCACACATTGACAGGCAGGTCCAAGTAGCTGACGAGTTTCATATCAGACGAAACCTGTGGCCTGGATAAGTAAATATCTACCTTTCAGTAAATATTATTACTGATCGATTGATCAATAGTTATATTTGACAACTTTAGTGCAGTTGTCGACTATCGTTTATGTACCAGTCCTCGCGTCTGATTTGTTATTATTGGAGTTTGTGTCATCTTCGTAGACAAAGCATTGGTACAAACAGCCCAGAGAGCAATAACTAAAAAAATTACTCAATTCCCGGGTAAAGGAAATCCCTCCTAGGATTTTAAAAGTAATGAGAGGACTTCGAGAAGCAGAAAATGCTCGAAATCTTTAATAATTTGTGGAATGTTTGAAACATTATTTAGAGGAATAATCACAGTAAGATAGATTTACATTTGAAATGTACAAACCTGTTTAAGAACAAGATTTCTTCAATCTTTAGATATTGCGTCTAGGTTTGATGCTGACGAATGAAAATATCAAGCTCGAAAGTCGACTATTCTTCAAATAAGAGAGGAATTTAGATGCATGCTAAGATATGTTTTGGAAAAAACAAAGTGACACAAAATATTTGATTGGATGCCAACATCCAGTTTATTTTTTCAAGCTGTTCTGGGGATTTTTTGAAACAGTTTAGTAGGAGAGTCATTGGTGTCAGTTTAAGTAATTGGTCACTGGGAGACAGACTAGAGAGTCATTGTTACCACACATGATGATGTGTTTTAGCAAGTGTCTGCTAACTCAATTACATTCATCATAGGGTTACACCCGTCACCAATCGAAAGATGCAGATGTGGATATTAGACAAACCGCTTTTCAAATATAGCTTAATTCAGTACCTGAACTCAAGCAATTTATAAGTGAGAAATAGAAATAACTTGCTAATCTTCAATTCACATGGAAATAAATAATTGTCAAATTCAACAAAGTTTTCGGATCTGCTGATTTCGTCACGGCGAAGAACGTTTCGTAATTGAGTACTATTTCACTGACTGAAAGGCGTATTAAATGCGATTGTTTTTCATCATATCATACTACAAATATATGCCTTAGATCTTATAAGTCTGATGTGACGATAAACGAAACAAATTCTTCTGTTATGATGAAAAGCTTTACCATCGATGAGTGATTTCGACTAAGCAATCCAGCTCAGAGAACACAATACAACCAAGATCATCCACTTGAGCTAAAAATATTCTCCACGATTTTGCACCTTACTACAATACTCACTTTGCTCATCAAAAACAGGTTACACATCTGTCACCCAGTTTATCTGTTTTCGATATGGGTGGCTGATTGGTACAGAATCCTATCAGAATACCAATTTAACTTGCTAGTTAATACAGAAACTGGTACATATCCACTGAGATTTTTAGAGTTCACCCTGACGTTTGGTCGATCAAGCTAACTAACATCGAAATGTCCGATAATGCTAAAAACCTATTTCTTAGCTCACTATCTACGCATTAAACTAGCTAAGCATGATGATAATAATTATTTGTTTTGACCACATAGTGATAGCATGTGTGTTGTTACACGCGTACATGCTGCTACATATCCAAAGCTGTTTTGTACATGTAAACCACGTAGCTCGCATTCAATGCAAATGTGCATATCTGTGTGGTCATAATGTTGGATAGAGAAAAAATTGTTTATACCCAATATACTAGTCACCTATATGATCAGTTTAATATATTACGTGTACTAAATACTAATCTGGTCTAATATTTAATATGAGTATTTCCATAAGTTTGTCATGTTTGTCACGGACAAATTAACTATCCTACAACCATATCCAACTATCTAGGTAGACTGTATACGATTTTCTTAGCAAAACATTTCATTTATCCTTAATACATGGCTATACATGTTATTCACAGACCGGAAGTTAGCATTATACATGACCTTAATCTCTCGCTCATTCGGCAAACGTAAGCATACGCATATGTGAACACGATGATATCACCCAGATACTTTCAAGCACTATTTCTACTGCTGAAAATAATAATAATAACAATAATAACAGGAAAACTGGAAGTTGTTTTAGTCAGTGCCTTAATTGTCTGAATACTGTCTACGCATTTAAGTTAAATATTATGCAGTGATAAATTTCCATGATCATAAGATCATTGCCGTTATCCACGTCATACTAAGACGTTTAATTACTGTTTTTATTAAAGGCTATTAAAACAACTTGTGATGTAAACTTCAGATTGTCAGTCAAGTCACTTAACGTACTCGGAGAACAACTACTTATTTCTGCAGATACCAGGAGGTAATTCAAATGAAGTAAGCCATTCATGCTACCTCTTTAATTTACTAAAGCTCAAGTGCAGTGTATAGTTGTTTGAAGCAGGTGATGTGGGCAGAAATCTTCTTACTACACTGCTGTAGTATTTCTTAGGCTCTGTTTAGCGCTAAATGAACTGAGTTGTATTAACATGAAACTTGTGAAGTTTCGTTCCTTCTGAATCATTCAGATAAAGATAAGCACTGATTTCTGATGTAACCTGATAGGACTGTATCATAGTTGGGTGGTGATAATGTGACATTTCTAAAGGCTGTATTCAGTGCTTAGAAACTGTTTCCATCAGTGACATCCTAAGAATGGCAACAGCGCTCTTTGATGTGGAGGTGGTTTCAAGACTACCTTTAAAACCTCAAGCAAGACAAATTATGTTGTCTAAGTGAGATGTATACCCCCATGTTATCAGCACTAGAGGGTATCATTACCAAAATGCTGTCTTGGCTGTTTAAAATGTCATTGAGACAATCGAAATCGCCCAAAATCTTTCATCGTACTGTTCCGTTACACTTCAATGAGAATAAATAGGTAGGTATGAAATAAAATAGTTTTAGGGCCCTTCACATATACTTAACAAATCTCCTCATTGCAAGATATAACTGAATTGATGCCAATGAAACAAATATTTCATTAGTTGGCTTCAGCAAGGATTCGATAAGGCTTCTAACTTAGGTTATAAAAATAAGCCACAAAGCTGTATGATTGGTAATATAGTTACGAAATGGACCAGTGATTCTTTTTGTGAAGGAAGACTGAGTAGGAATAAAGAGTGTCTCATCCTAGTGGAAATCATTAAAGAGTGGATGCCTAAAGAAAATATAACAGGTTCACTTCTGTCTCTAATTTGTGTGAATAAGTTTCTCGAGATGACTAGATCTCTCTTCCTTAAGTTTACGGAGGACGCTAAACTCTATAAAGTTGTTTCTACAGAACGACCCGAGTGCTCTAGTTGACTGCTGCACAAGATATTCCTTAGAAGTTAACACCACCAAGAATTTAGTCATGAAAGTTGGTCATGATGATACTTATGACCACTTGATCAATGACATAATGCTGTCTAAAGCAACTGAATGTGAGTCGCCCATGACCCCAGGAAAATTAACCAATTGTAGAATTGTAGCTTTCAAGGCTTCCGAATCTTATGTTCCTCGTGAATTGTCTTTCAAGGCCACAGTGAGAATATATTTTAAGTTTGAAATCAGACACATTGAAAAACCTATTAGAACTATGGGATCTTAGCAATGAGCCCATGTTTCAGATATAAGGGGTGACAGACATATTACAGCGTGTTCAGAGGGTAAGAATTAGGATATCCAATGAGCTTTCTAATCTTTCCTACGAAGAAACACAAGATTCATTCGGCTTTCTCCCACCGTTTGATCATATGGTGGGTTGTGATGTCATTTTAACGCACTGTATCTTAAATAGTGATTTACAAGCTAACTTATCCACTTATTCTTTCTCCGTTCCAATCAGAGGATATCATAAGAAAGCTTTTAAAGCATGAACTAGGTTACCTTCATCTGAAAATTCATTTCTTACCCAGATTGAAACCATCTCTTAAAATGCAAGGTGTCTGTAGCTTCCATTGATACCACTAGAAGATGTTAATATAGGTCATATGCTTAGTATTTTTATTCCTGAAGACTGACCAGTCATAAATGCAGT